ACTATAGATTTTTTTATTTTTTTTTTTCCGATTATTTTTTTTTTTCTTCTTCTTTTTCTATTTAAGGTGTCCGTCAAAATCGAACCCGCGTAATTAATTTTCATTATTTTAACATCGTATTATTATCATTTCTGCCGGCGTCCGACCCCGGGCGACGGCGGCCCGGAGCACGGTAACACGCGCCGTCGCATTTACATTCGAACGCCGTAACACCAATTACGACCGCGGTCTGCCGCGTTTCGGCGGGCACCGGACCGCGCTCATAACATTATCGTTATCGTTGTTATTAATCCGAATGACTTAACTTCTGTTGTAGTCGCGTCGGCGGCGCGCGCGTCCGCACAGACAATGCGCCGATTCCGCGCCGTAAACGCGATATTACAATTATATTTTGTAACGATATTATCGTGAGGGGGGGGGGTATGTAAAAAAAAAATATACATCATACGCACGCGGAAACCGTTCCGAACGGAAAAAATTCAAAAGGCGCCGCGGACGGCTGTAACGCGAGTAAGTACTTATCTGGCCCGTTCGCGTGTTATTATTTTCCGATCGTCGCTATTGACGCGCTCGTCTCGTCCGTGAACCTGGCATAACGTTATAATATCATTATCATCATCGGTATATAATATGGACGTAACGCCCGGAGATATTTTTTATACGCATCGTCTCGGTTTATCTTTTTTTTTAACACAAAATAAAAACGCCCCCGGAAAAATAATCCCGGCCACTGCCCTTTCGGTGTTTTATGCCAATAGGTGCTACTACAGCCGTCAAACAAACCGTTTTCAATGCAGAACAAACGATAAGGTGTTTATTTTGTTTATAGAAATAGTTATACCTTTTGAACGTTTTACCTGGCCAAACGCAACGAGTTGTTAAAAAACGACGTTTCCGGGCTTAATCCGGCCCTGTATACTTGTATACTGTAGTTTTACACACGGATATTGAACACCTATCTACGCGAATAAAAAATAAAAAAAGTTTGTCCGCATTGTACGCGACGCACAGTCGAATCTATTGCACGCGGAGGTCTGAAATACGGAAAAACGGACGGACGGGTGTGCACGGGCGATGCGTGGTATAGATTGTCCAGCATTTCGTTTCAGCTCCCATACTAAACGTAGTATTACATTTACGTACGCATTACACACGAACGGGTACAGACTTTGTCCTACGATATTATGAAATAATCACCGGCCGGCGTTTTCTAATTTATTTTTACGACGATTTTGATTTCGGGCTCTGTTAATCGGTACAGGTGGCCAACAATGCGGCACCACAGAGACCATCGGGTGTGTGTGTGTGTGTGTGGGGGGGGGGAGGAAGGTTTCGACTCGATCGCCCGCCAACCCGATTCGGGACTCTCGATTGCCGAAATTAATTAGGCCGATACAAGCGTCGTGTAGGCCAACCGCGCTGGTAGTTTACTAATGTATTCATAATTATTACGGTCGATTGCGAAAAGTCGATCTTGGCCCCCGACGCGTCAGTCACGAAAATCGACACACAACACTATAGATGTGTGTGTGTGTGTGTGTGTGTGTGTGTATTATAATATTCGTTTAAGAACTTCAAACGATATTGTCGGCACGCACGCATTCGGTTGTGTACACTCATATATTATAATAGTGCCGGTGCTGTATAGGTGCTCGAAACGGAATTCGACGCGATAAAAATAGTATAATGTGTATAGAGGTACCTGTACCTGCATATCGTCAAGGCTGCGCAGGACATTAGCTAGTTAAAGAGCGAAATTAATTTTAACAGTTGACGCGTAGCTTTCAACCTTTTCGTATTTGTATCAAATCGACTTAATTTTAGATTCTGGGCGGAGCGAGGAATGTGTATTGGTTGATTGGCGCTGTTCGTGTTTGCGAACGACAATTTCCACCGTAATTCCTGCTCCAGTTTAAAAATTAATGAAAACATTCTCGTGTAACTTTAGATTTAGTTGCTGCACCGTGGGTGCAGGACCAGGTTTTCTTTGTGGTTTTCATCATAAATCGGGGGAAAAAAACTGGTCATTTACGTTGACGTCTGACAACGACGGGATAAATACGAATAATAATATTCTGATCAGTAATCGTTTTTCGATGGCAATGGTTTATCGTTGCATACTGCAGACATGAATTAAATTACTCTATTCATTCTATTCTTTCAACTTGCCTCCAAAAACAGCGGCAGCGCCGTTAATAAAATCCGCCTGTTTTACATTATCTTAGGTATAGATGATAAAACTTACGAGTTAATTTTGTATTGCATCGCGTAAAGTCGATTTCAATTTCTTTTGATTTTAAACAACGTTAAATTTTACAATATACAGTGCGCTATTTGTACGTGACTAGCCCCATATTGTCGTGTAAATAACAATAATTTGTTCTTCTTGAACTCAATAATCTGTGTGTCGTGTTCCGGGTTTAAAAATACCCACGTTAAATTCGATACAATTTTGCAACTAACTTATCATAACTGAAATAATATTGTATTCATTAACTCGGCCGCCGTGTCCGAATAAGTCGCGTTCAAACAACGTTTTATAATTATATACAATTTGAAAATTTGCAATATTACGTCTTGTTTTTTTCTTTTTTTTTTTTTTTTATCTATTGCAAAACGCGCGCGAAAATAATTCAATTATCGTGTTTCGTCAATTACGCGCGTTTACGTATTATTTGTATTGGTCGGAAACATGTCTGTATATGCGTAGTACGTTATATATTGTAACAGGATTTGATTATTCTAATTACCTACGTACGTCTGCGTACGCCGTATTATAATAACACTGTTTAAAGTCGGCAAAACGGCCGTACAATTTCGCCGATCCGCAATCATTTGGTTATTATAAAGACACGTGTCCGTGGCTCGACCGAGGACGTTTCCATGTTGTTATAATGAGTAGTGACTTCGGAATGTGAACGAGTCGGTTTATCTGCCACGCTATAGATTAGTTGCACGTGAGTGTTAACAGTTGATTTCCGCGTAAAAGACCGAAGAGCTGAAAACTGTATAATGTATAATATTCAAACTAAAACTGTTTGAATTGGGTACCCAGAGCGCCGATTGCAACAGAATATTGTGTAAACACTCACGTTTTCGCCTAGAAATATTTATTTTGTACGGTCTGTAGCACGGAATGTCGACGAATATCGGTAACATAATATTTATATATTGGTTTAACGCCGCCGCGGTGCCGCCATTGCGGCGCGTACGCGTACGTAAATTTAAGGCACTTGGTTAATTTTAAAAAATAAATCTGTCCGTGTGCCGAACCTAATAATTATAAATTATACAGTTGTCTTATCGCGGTCTTATCTCGTCAAGTGCGCTATATAACAAGGCTAGACAATAGTTAATGGACGTTATTTCAACTCGGTTAGTGGGGTTAAACTGAAAGAAAAGAAAGCTAACACGTTAAAAATTAATCGTTTCATTTTACTCGACGAAAGTAATTCATAAGTTGATTTGAAAATCTTTAAACCAGCGGTTAAGTATTTTTTTTTTTTTTTTTTTTTATCAAACTGCACGCGTTATTATGAAATATACATAGTGTTTTAAACTCCACACACGTTATTGTGTAAACAAAAAAAACAAAAAAAACAAATGATTTATACGTTAATACCAGATTAAAAAAACTACGTGAATCGGATATTTGTAATTCATAATACACGGTCTTTTCCCGGATAGATATCAGAAATAAACGAAAAAGAGAAATGTTGGTAATTTAAGGACGAATTTCTCGCGTGAGCCCCATTTGATGCATTGGATTTCACGTTCAAACCACCGGGGGCGGAGTAGCCGATCTGGAAGTGGAAAATTTCCAGATGGCCTAAATCTTCTGGTAAATCGTCTGATGGCCTGATATTTTGCTTAGTCGTATTATTCAATAGCTCACCAAGTTATGCCAAGACGAAAAAGACGTGTTATTACGTTCTTATTTCGTTACCCATTACATAAAATGTAATACTCGTGTTTTCAAATTCGTCGACAAAAACTCCCCTCTTCCGTCCTATCGTGATCTCCAGTAAAAACGTATTTAACCATCGTCAATTCAAAACTCTAGCTATGCCATTGGCCGAAATTAATACTCGAGGAAAATGTTGCCGGCGCGTATTTTATTGGACGGCCCGGATTTCATAAATTTCAACTTCCCGGTCCTGGGAATTCGGTTCCCGCTCCGCCCCCGCAAACCGCTCTCTCAAACGCTCCCGAAACGAATAACAACGGACCGTATGAAACCGTCGGCGAAACGGCTCGACCGGAGTTTTTTTTTCGAATCTATTCAAACCACAGGACGTTGTATGAATAACGTAACACGCGCATTGCGTTTTATATTGCGTTATCAGATACAGATACCGAACCAATACGAATTTTCGTTGCACAACCGCCGCGCGTACTCGCAGCGGAGGACTTGAACAATTCAAAACGAGTAAAAGTGAAATGTAATAATAATTGATTTGATTATAAAATAGAATATTATAACACCGGTCCAGTGGGACGAACGCGCGTAAAATATCGAAATTAACGGCATTAATAATATTATAATATTATATTGTAGCGCCGATTAACATAGGTATAATTAATTTTCGTGCCTACCGATCGCTCACACGGTACAGTCGAAATTCTTTCGTCCAATAATAATTATATCAGGTGACGTAGCACACCGCACCGGTATTATAATTTATAATACAAAAATAATCTGACGCGCGGTCTACCAAAATATTTTGATTGTTTTTTTTTTTTATGGTTTAAATTCAACAATGCCCTCACAAGTATGATGTTTCATGACACACTTCAATAATATGATTGCAGTTAGTACGAGTGTAATTGTTTAAAATATAAATACCATATAGATTATACGAGGGTTGTCCCAAAAGTAATGCACAGCGCGCTCTAGCTGTCTTGCAACGTTTTATTATCAGCTGATTTTAGTATCAGTTTGTAGCTTGAAGTCTAACGAACACGTGCGTTTTTAGTTTTAATTGTTTTAGTAAAGTATGATGATGTGTGAGAGCGATAACGAAAGTGAGAACAATTCGTCGGCTCACATTTCTGTTTTTGAGCAACGCGCATACATTAAAATCGAAACGATTCGTGGTAAAACAGTGCCTGAAATTCATGCCGCGTTAAATGAAGTGTGTGGAACGGATACTGTGGATCGTAGTACGGTGCAAAGATGGCATCAGCGATTCCGTGATGGTCGTATAAGTATTGATAACAGCCCTCGCTCTGGCCGACCCTCTACGGTTACTCAAGACAACACTAACGCGGCTATTCTCGCAACTCTACTCGATGAAGACCGACGAATAACGGCGAGAGAGATAGATAATGAAAAATTGCGACCGGAAATCCGTAAAAAGCGACCAAGAATGTTACAAAATGGTGTGTCCATATTGCACGATAATGCGCGGCCGCATATCGGAGCACCAGTCGTCGCTCTTTTGGAGAAATATGGACGGGAACGCCTCAAACACCCACCGTATTCGCCGGATTTAAGTCCCCCGGACTTTGATTTATTTCCAAAACTGAAGGAACCACTTAGAGGGATCCGTTTTCCCAACTTAGATATACTAAATGAAGAAGTGAGCCGAAGGATCCGTGAACTCAACAAAGATGGCGTCCTATGCGGCATTCAAGCGCTCCCGAAACGATGGCAATCGTGTATAGACAAGCAGGGAGATTATATCGAAGGTCTATAATATTGTATTTAGTTTAAAATAAAAACTTATTTATTCAGAGCAAATTGTGCATTACTTTTGGGACAACCCTCGTATTTAACACAATAATATGATGCTAAAGTAATTTATTAAAAAAAAAAAAAAAAAAAATCGTCAAGTCAACCTGCCGATATAGGTTTTATTTATTTTACATTCTATATGCCTGTTATTGCTAAAAAAGACACAATACGAATGCAAAAATGACTGTTATTTGCGTGTGAGTTTTTTTAATATATGGTTATATTTACATGTCAAATGTTTTGTAATTATTTGTCGTTCTCTCGTAACCAATACCCTATGATATCATGAAAATTGTAACTTTCTACCTCCAATGCGATCCTAGTTAACAGAAGGCAGTGTATGTTAACATGAACTAGCAATTTTTTTTTTTTTCATTAATCGTTGCGGAATCGTATAAGCTTTATTTTAACACTGTTTTCAATTTTGTAACCCTACTTCTTATACTAGAAATGCGTATCCTATATAGGGAAAATAATTCAAGTAGAGAATGTTTTTCTAGAAACTGCGATACCTGTGCATAACACGCCTACATCAGATTTACCGTTTATGAGTTCTGACAGTTTAATGTTTAGACCGTAGGAGTGAGGAAACTTGTCATTTAAGAACAAATATCTAACTTATAACCCTCCCCTTTCCCAGACCCCTTCGGTGTAAACTCGAACCGTTTTTAACTCGTGGACGGCAAATCTGATATTATACCGTTATGCATATCGAAATGTCGAGAAAAAATATTTTCTATTTGAATCAGTGATTGAAAGGAGGGCGGTTGTTATTTAAAAGGCCAAAGTGGATACTCGTTTCAGGTATAAGGAGTAGGGGTAAGAAATTACAAATGGTATTGAAATAAAGCTTAGACAATCCCACCACAATGATTAAAAACAAATGCAGTTCACTTCGAATCCTCCGGGGAAACTGCTGGTCCACGATAAAAGAATCACTCTGTATTATGTATATTTTGAATAATAAAATACTATACGGTAATTAAATTATTAAAACGTATACCTAACGAGTTCGTGCCGAGTCGATGCGGCGGCGGTCGTCGTGTTTTCGGACGTAGGTACATATCTATAAGTATTCAAATAAGGATCCGTAGGATTGAAAAAAAATAATAATAATAAATAAAAACAAAATTATAATTACTAAATTTATTAGTTTGTAACGCGCGCGTACGGAAATTATTTTTGACGTGAATCGTGAGATTTTCGCCTATGCACACGTTTAACCCGTCCGCGGATCGTCCGACCGATCGTGTGTGTTCTTTTATCGATTTACGAACCGTATATTTTCGCCTACTTGTATTTTTATTATTTTTTTTTTTTAATTCTAACCGCCGTCGACAGGTACGCCTATAATGTCAATACGTCGTGATTTCCGTCTTTCCCGTATGCGTAATTAAAGGAGAACGACAACATCGAATTTTTGTACATCGGCGAATGCAATACACACGAGAGCAACCAGTACCAGATATTTCGCTTGCGAATTCGCCAACCGCATTAGGCCAATAATCATATTCTTTATGGAAATTACAATTTTCACTAAAACCGAGGGAAATAAAAAAATTAATAATAATGTCCGGGGTTTATGGTTAAACCGTCTCGGACTTTTGACCGGACGTTATGCACAGTCGTACGAGATAAAACGACTACGGCGACCATTGGCGCGCTCCTCCGTAAACCTTTCGTCCGATCGGTTTTATGAACCGGGTCGATACGGTAAAACGATCGTCCGCAAGCGGACGCGCGCGCTCCGCGCCCGACCGCGCGAATCGGAAATCTCGCGGTCGCGCAGGCCCGGCGCCGGTACTGCGTCGTTATTGTTATCGCGAAACGTGTCTACGTGTTTCGGCCGCGTGTTACGGGCGGGGGTTCCGGGCGAAACGGCGCGGATATCCGGACGGGCGTTCCGCACGACATATCGTTGTGATTCGTACACGTCGCGGTCAAACGCGTCCCGCGTCGCGACGCGTTCGACACGCCGCTGGTCGCGCGTACCGATTTGGAGCCGCTCCAAAAGTCTTCGCCGCCAAACGCGCGCGCGACGATACGGTAAACGCGATTTCCATCCCCCCTCCCCCCCCCGAGCTCGTGGCCGCCTTCGCGGCACAACCGCGCAACTGCGAACACGGCGCTGGCGTTCGCTCCCGTCGCGGTCTCGGCAATTTTCATTTTATTAACATCCGCCTACTTTTTCTCCCGCCGTTGTCATCGTGTCGTTTTCGCATACGAGTCCCGACAATATCGCCAAAACTAATATATTATAATACACCGCCCCGTACACAATATATCATTATGCGTGTTATAAAAAACCAAGTGCGAATATAATAATATTATCATAATAAATTGGAATAACGTGTAAGCGTATGTTGTGTAATTTTGGAATTTACACCGCGACTTTGCGCCGTAGTTCCCGCGTGTCATTATAATGCGCGCCGTTTTGTTAAAAAATATTATATTGTTAACGTATGCTAAACACCTGTCACTACGCGCAGTACAAAGTTTTATTCGCACGTACGGTACGGGGAAAAAAAAAAAAAGAACAAAAAAAAAAAACAAAAATGATTACACAAATTATAATACACCGTGTAATATCCATAGACTTTCACTTATTATAATATTATTGATAATATACCGTACACGAATTGTGCGCTCTCCTCTCTCCGTAACAGTGCTTTGGGGCCTCGCGGGACCCCCGGACACGCGTAAGTAAATCACTGTTAATTTTAAAAAAAGAGAGTCTGAACATACATCCGACGAGATCGTTGGTAGCGAACAACGGTTGCGAGCGAACTCCGGTTAGACAATAGGTTTTGAAACGTCGTGATTTTTACGTTTAAAGGCTTGAATATTTTATCCGATGTCCAATGCGAGTATTCTCTGAAAATGTTTTCCCGATTGTTAAGAAAACTAGAGTGGAAATTAAAAAATCCCCAACGCAGTAGCCAAAATTTTCTGTCAGAAAATGCGCAACACTCGACGACCGGAATAGGATTTCCGGTTGAAATATTATTTATAGACACGAAAAATCGCATATCATAATAACTCAAAATCTGTAAAAAAAGAGTTGAAAAATCTTTTTGAAAAAATGCGAATATAATGCTTTAGTAAAGAAAACTCTAACCAAGATGATGATGAAAATGTTGTAGTTCTTCTTTTCCTTCGTCTTCATCCCAACTATTTAATGTCGGCTACCCTCGTTCTTCCGATAATTTCGTCTCCACCTCATCATTCCTGCGTTTATTTTCATAACAGTTCTAACTGGTTCGGATTTCTCTCTCCTCGCGACATGTCTAAACCACTTCAGTCCATTTTCTCTCACTTTTTGTACTAACGAAGCCACGCCTAATATTATACCTCACTTGGGTATTCAGTCCTTATTCTTTCATCTATCTCGGAAACCCACTCATCCGCCTAATCATCTCATGAAAATGATGAAAAAACGACGGCGCATTTACAGTCTCTACCCGCGAGTTCAGCCGTATGTAAATATGCAATCAGCCGTGGTTCTTCATCGACTACATAGGTACGTAGTAGGTTTTAGGATCACACTTAAGACACTCGAAGCACTATCCGGTTTGCACCAACGATCATCATTTTGTTTCGTTATAACTCCCGAAACCTACTAAAAATCGTAAACCGACCTAAATCAGCTTGCGCCGAACTCGGATAGGGTCTGTGAATTCGCCACCCGACCATTTTCTGTTTGATAATATTTCATCGTTAATAATTAAAAAACACGACTTAGGTAATGATTTGGGTATTGCATGTAGACGCAGCCGATACCCGGAGAAAATACGCCAAAGAGCCGGAGACCATATTCGAAACACGAAAAAAAGCATTTTGGTTAATAAACCAACCTATATGTATACAATAAACGCCGCACAATTAAGTACCTATGTCTGCGGCGTGTATTTTTATCATACGGTATTATATTTGTATAATAATTATTCCCGACGGCGGTTCATGATGTACACCACAGGTACGTTATTATTGTATTATAGCGTTTACAAGAGAAACATTTTTTGGTTTTTTTTTTTTTTAACGTGAAGAAAGGTCACGGTCCTGCCCGCGGAGGACTGCCACACAAACGGCGGAGACGATGTGTGTTGCGGAGGCGGGTTTCAATGTCAATAGACCTTCCAAAAAAAATTATATTTATTTATAATATTAATATCGCGGTATACTTATTCTAAATGTACTCGTACACTCCAAGCACATAAGAGTATATACAGGGTGACTTTTTATCGTTATCTACGAAGATTTGTTGGGTAAATTCGATTTTGGTTTTTTTTTTTTTTTTTTTTTTCAAATTATTATAATATGGAATACACCAAGGTATAGGGGTCGTAGGTGACATAAAGGGAGGAAAAGATTTAGGACCGTGATTATTGGAGAACAGCAATAGTGACTGCTAAAATACTTACAGAGATGTGCGGCTATAATATGATAAGGATGTTGATGATTACGTTGGATGATAACAAAGTGTTATACATATCAAACAATCCCCATTGACAGTGTTCAATTATAAAAAAAAATAAAAACCATATTTAGCATTGAAAACGTATTAGCCGTTACTATTAACGTTTGGATTTTTACGTTTTCACATATCTATTACTGAAAGGCCTAAAATAACGTTTCCTGACACAAAATGTGTACATTGGATTGCCTATAGATACTATAATCAGTTCTCTATGCCAACCCGCACTGCTGTATACGGTTTCAACCTTACACATCGCACGCTTCCCGCTTTTTCTCCATTTAATTCTATACTCTAGTCATTGTTTGTCTTACTCGCTTTGTTAATTAGAGTTATGTTCTGTTACACATGTAACGTATTCTAATGTATAACCTTATTTGTAACGCCATGTTAATTTTTTTTTTTTTTAACTTTCAGTTGCTGTAGGCTGGGCAGCCTGGCTTATTGATTTCCATTGACTAAGTTTGAGTCCCACTCTCGCCCATTGAACAATCCTGCGTACTTATGCGTAACTAAAACATCTGCAGGATCATAGTAAAAAAAAAAAAAAAAGATGTGGACATACTTAGCACGATGGGTGGGCCACTGTTGTAGGTAAGAAGTTAGGAAGGTAAGGGGGAAATGTAATACGTATTTAATGTAATTGTATCCCCATTCATCCGGAAAACTCCTTAGAAAGCCGAAAAATGACATCCTCAAAGGAACCGCCCCAGTAGGATTTCCTTTCGGAAAAAATGCTACACTTGAAAATCGGAACAAAATTGCCGGTAGAAAAGATGTCCACAGAAAACAAAAAAATCAACACCATTGTAAGGCCGATACATTCCTCGCTCCACTCGACATCTAAAATCACCCTATATATTGTATTTGTGTAGAATTTTTTTTTATCGTCGTTGTTAAACAACGACGCGGTACCTATAAAATACAATACGCTGTATAGTGCGTTATTAATTATTATCGTGTGTTTGTTGTTGGTACATATGGGTATACCGTTCGGAAACGTTTTTCGAACAATAATTATTTATTCGCCTATCTCGCGTGGCGGCCACATAATAGGTATATAAAAAAAAAATATTAATATTACATTATACGCGGGATGTGCGTGTACGCCGCCGTCCACGCAATCGATTCATCATCGTTATGGTGCAGCACCGTACACAATACAACGAATACGAAAATAAAATTGAAAAAAAAAAAAAAAAATTACATACACGCGCGTACCTATAAAATTATGTATAAATTTTTTTTTTTTTTTTAACAACCTGTCGCGCATAAATCTTCGCCGCAGTATTTTCGCGGAACAGTTACTCGCGTATAAAATTCATACATCTAAACCGTATATATACCTACATATATAAAAAAAAGATTTTTTTATTTTTTTTAACAACCTGTCGCGCATAAATCTTCGCCGCAGTATTTTCGCGGAAACGATAAATTCTTCGTTTTGAAATATTCAAATTAACCGTTCGCCATATTATGTATGTGTATACATTCACGCAGGAAACCCGCAGTGTCGATCATCACGAATAATAATAACACACTTGTATTCGTACGATACAATATTATGTTCGCATTGTGTTTTACGTGTGCCCAACTAGGCATATCTCGCGATTCACCCGCGAGAGTTTGATTATTATTAGACGTAAAAGGGATAACTCCGTGTATGTAACGAGGAAAAAAAAATTATTTCCTATACCGGCCTACACTATCGGTATGGGCGACATGGGCGGAACAGTAAATAGTTTTAAAAGTTGAAAGTTACGTTACGAGTTGCTTGTAAAAATGGATAGTTTAAGAACCGAAAGCCGATAACGGATTTTACTTTTGAAAAGTTGGAAGCGGTAACTCGTTACCGGTGATCGAAATAATCCGGTAAATGTTTGGGAGTAGACAAACTATCATCAACAATAAAAATAATACGCATCATGAAATAAACGAAAGGGTTATGAACGGAAACAGGTTATCGAAGTGTTATCGTAGATCAAAGAAATATGCCCATATCGTGTAGCCACCCAAGACCAATAGTGACATATATACACAAGTGAGATGTGGTCTATAACGAAAATCGATTAAAAAATATTACTGACATTTGAATGAAAAGTTCTTATGATTATTTATGGATCAGGTTTCAAGCAAAAAAAAAAAAAAAAAACTAAACCATACATTTGAGAAACGGGAAAAAATGCGAAACTTACAAAAATTTTATGATAAATCGAACATGTTATCGTTTATCAGGAACAGAAGACTAAGATTGGGTTGCGTAAACGTTCATTAGCGATTTACAGAGCCTTTAACTCACTATACTGATTCGTTAGAAAAAATTGGATGTTGCTCGAACGCTCGTTAACGCTAACGGGTGTGTAATTTCTTGGCTACTGTTACTGTTATATTACTATCATATCCAATGATAATAATATTGCCGAGGTCCATGCGATACTCACAGTAGAATCAAATGCCATTACGTAAAAAATAAGATTAATGATATTAATTATTATGTAGTTTTTACATTGATAGTTTGACTTACCTGTAAACAATGTACGTAATTTTTACAAACAGTTTAAAATAATACAAATATAATATGTTTTAGATTCGGAGCGTAGCGGATCATCCAAGGAGTTTTCATAGTAATCGAGAAACCCGGAAAAAGACGAAAAACGAAAAAATTTACGGCGTACGATTCCTTTATTTTAAATATGCACGGCATATGTTTTCTACCAAAAATATCGCTTCAATAGAAAAACGACAAGTGACCTTTGTTGTTGAACTTTTAATCTTGTTGATTAATAACCATTTGGTTTTTTCATTTTCCAAATAGTCTTTTAATAAATGAGCAAAACCAATAAAAACGTAGAGAGAAATCTGTAAAATGAATTCTGTTGATAAAATTATTTGACCAAACAGAAATGCTTGAAAATTGAATAGAAGAAATCGTACTAAGCGGTAAAAAAATAATCGAGTCAAATGTTGTATTTTTTTTTTTTTTTTTTTTTTTTTAATCAAATTTTAACGAAAATCGTAAATATTACGGCCTTTCGAAACATGTAGGTACAACCGAACCACGCTCCGAATCGTTTTTCGTTAGCAACGGTTTATCGTTGGTTACGGGTATAAATAATGAAATAAACAAAAATACCAAAAAATTAATTCATAACGAACTTCAGTGTTTGTAAAACAACGTTACGCGATACAACGTTTTCCAAGTCTATGGTTACGACAATGTTTATTTTTCCGGTACTGAATTTTATTTTTATATTTTTCAACCGTTTAATTTTTTCATTGTAGAACGTTTTTTTTATTCGACCGTCGAATCGTCAACGCAATTACTTGTCGTCGCCTTTCTTGACCCATGTAAGTACACGTATATTATATTCTCTTTTCTATTCTTAAAAAGTATTTCATGAGGTGAGAACAAAATAAATTTCCAACAACCATTTTTATATTTTTAATTTGTATTTTAAAACATATTATATCGATTTGAAAAATTAATGAATAGATAATTAAACTACGACTAGGTGACTAGGTATAATTCCGAATTTTACTGTAAAATAATACCTATTTTTGAAAACTAAGAAAAACTATATAATTTAACTTTGGAATAAATCGTTAACGTCTAACGAAAATTATAACCTTAATATGTTAATGGTATGTTATTTTCAATTAAAACCTATACAATTATAATCATATAATCAAACCCATTCATATCAAATTCAAATTGTTGTGTTTGTTGCGTAATAATAATAAAATTATTTGGTAGGACTCGAAATTACGTAGGTACACGTAATTCGTATTATACACTTAATGAAAAGATTTGTTTTGTTTTTTTTTTTTTTTCGCAATATTAATTTAACTTATAATGTAATTCGTTACTATATAAAAAAAACCACGTTAAAAACATCGGTAAAATGTACCAAGTATTGATTTGTACAAGTTTACACATTTACACGTTTTCATAGTCGAGAGCCTCTAGAAGAAAAATTAAAATTAAAAAGAATCCTATAGGTAGCATAGTTTTCTATTTACAATATTACAAATGTGAATGTTTGTTCTGGTGTATGGATTATGTACCTATGTTATTATCACCTTTCGTCCGGACTGTACGGATTAAAGTGAAACTTTGCAATGACGTATTTATAGATCAGGAATAACATGACACAAGCTACTTTGTACCACGGTATTCAATCCCTAAATATAAAATAGTTACAGGGTAGAAATAGATAATTGTCATTTGTAGTACGAAAATCAAATTAATCTTGTTGATTTTTGCGTTGCCTTGACGATACGAATGGAAAAAAAAATCGTTATTATTACTAATTTGGTTGTCACAGATAAAAAAATACCTCTAAAAAATGACTAGGCAATAACGATTAACTATGATAGGTACTCGGTAGAAACGGGGAACGCGGGTGTAGTTTTATTTGTTTAAACATTTTTTTTTTTCGTTCAATATTGACACGGGAAAAGCTAGTATAAAAATAATATCAATGATAATAGGATTTGAGTTTAATAATACATACCTACATAGAATATATAAATGGTGTAATTTGTATTTTTATACTGATGGCGATAAAAACGATTTTATGAAATTCGTTGAAAATTGTCTCATTGGCTAATTCAAATTCTAGTCATACATTAACAATGATAATTGAAAATATATCAGATCCAGATATCGTCATAAGCCCCTAAGGTACCCCATGTTTACAACTTGTCAGAATACAAATGATATCCTATTATCGAGATAATACAAAATAAACTCTTTAAGCAATATAGTCTGATTCCTTAAGATATTAAATAGGATATTTTTGATAAACAGTTAATTAAATTTATCGTCAGATGGATAAACATGAAACGTTCCTATGAACTTATGAACTAAGAAAATTTTCCAATTCTGATCACGTTTCCTTAATCGAAATTGATCTTAATCTAGCCACAGTGCATTAATCGGCCATTCCGGAGATTTCCAAGGTGTACAAAATCTGAAGATTTTCTAATACGAAAGAGTAGAAAGAGTTTAATATCTAATTTTTGTTTGATAGAGACTAAATAATTATCTGTTTGGTAACAAAGATTTGATCATTTCAATTTTTTTCAATAATATGATAAAAACTGTCTTATCCTAAAGTAATAGGCCAATGACTTATCACCAAATACCCAGACTTGTAAGTCATATTAGAAATATGGAATATCAGATATTTATTTTCATGGTGCTAATTAAGAGGTTAGAGGATTCAACGTGTCAGGAAAACTATTCAAATCTCTCAATAAAATCGGAAGTCTCCTCATATAAAGTAGATCGGTTTTCGAGAAATGAATCCCGAGAAAGACGAGTAACTTGAATTTAATGATATCAGAGTTGAGGGTCAGATTGAATGGCCAGTTACTAATTTGCATTGTAAAACATTGATCTTTAAAGTACTTTGTTCCGCCTCGACCAGATGAACAGACAAAAGACCAAAGTTCAAAACAATTATTTTTTAATAAACATATTTCTATTTTAAAGCGCTTCTCGGGAGTGGAGGCAAGAAATTTGGCAGACATTTGTGGAGTCGGAAAATATTTGAACAAATTCCCAAAACAAAACAACATCGTTATTTTACTCATGTATTGTAATAATTGTAATGTGACTGATTGAACTTACGGATAATGTTATGTTATACTATTTTAGTAACGAGAAAATTATGGCTAACAATTTTTGTAATAAAGTTACGTTAATGTCAAGTAATTTTCTGATATTTTAATTAATGTTATCTTAATTTTTTTTTTTTTTTGTTATTTAATAATATTTCAATAATGTTCTATCTGTATAGATTTGCCTTCTGAAAAGAGCCTAAATACCGATTATTTATTTCTATAGAATGGTTATTTTTTCCACTAATGAATCAATTTTTTAGACATATGATACACACAAATGATAATTGTGAGTAAAGAAATTATAGAAAACAAGTTATTTCGCAACTTGAGTGTGTAAAATTACAACATTAGATAAACCAATTAAATCAAATACCATAATCCATTTATTTTTACATAGTATACCTATTGAGAATAGCCCCTATAAGTATAATATGCACTGAAAAGTAAAAGTGAGTGCGAACGAATTTCTAATTATCACTCATATTCTTCAAACCCATTTCTATCACTTTATCCGCCGATAGTTGGGCATAGTAAATAGAATTTAAAAGTTATACGAGGTTATTTAAAATTTCATTATGGTATTTGAACTATGCTCTTTTACGAGATTCAACTGATACAAGATAAGGTTGATTTCGAAAATTAATTTTTCTCTATTTATTTAGATCAAACTGGAGTTGTTTTGAATACAATAAATTGTTGATGATATTTTAGAACCATTGTAGAATTGTAAATTTGCCCTCCCCCCTCTCTCGTTTTACGCTTGAAGTGAACATCCACGCGCAATTGCGTTGTAGGACATTGAAGGCATTTATAATGTAAACCGTGGCATAATTCTGCCTGTGACGATATTTTAGAAAAACGATGACGTATACAGCTCTCGAAAACATTCTCATCGTTAAATTGTATTGTTCATGTTTAAATTCTAATTTAAACCCGAACGCGTCATAATTTATAATGGTAGGCATCGTATAATTTTTTACTACGTCGTCCGTTAGCCCGAGCCGGTAAATGCGGGCGCAGCTTCCTTTTAACTATGTAGGTAATAGAGAGTAAGAAAATACCTACAATGATAAAAAATATGTTCGGTAAGTAATTCAAATTGTGTTTAATAGGCATGTTGTTATTATGGCAGCGACGCAGTAGACATATGTAGCAGACGGATGAAAAAGTATCGACGAAAATAATAAATATTTATTAATATAATAGGTCGTTTTTTTCGTGAAATTCTACACGAACAAATACTAATAATATGCGTCCGTATTTATAAGGTAGGTGTATTATTATTATTACATATTAGGCGTCGTAAAACGTGACAAAATCGTTTACGGGCCGGAGAAAACTGTGTTTTATTATTATTTTTTTTTTTTTCATTTTTCCCCCCCGTAAACAAATATTAAAACCGATATTTGTCTTTTAACCCCTCCGTTTCGGACGAAATATTAACAATTTTACTGTAGAAAATAAAAACATGTATCGCCCGTTCTGTTTTATTGTACGGTATATAGGCACGTTTGTAAAACTAACTATAGACGGCGGGAGCCGTTCGCTTTTCGAGTGAAATGTTCGAATAAGGTTTAAAGTATATGTGCCCGTGTATAGGCATAATGTGTAACGTATATTGTGTTGTACACAATAAACAACCTATAGAAATATCACGGAACGGCGCGCATTGGTCACCGTATCCAATATCGCTGACCGATCGACCGACGACGCCAGCGGAGAGGGCGCCGAACAGCCGCCGTCGCCAACGAAAACCGCGTAGGTACGATTGTCGTCTCGGGTCGCGCCCGTTTTCGTTTTGATATTTTTTCTTCTTTTTCAAATTTTTACTCGGAATTCGGTATTGGACACCAGTGGCGCCCGCATAGGTACGTGTACACAGGGAACCGAGATGCCGTACGACACAGACGTATTCGCACGACGTCAGGCTGTGCGAATAGGGAAAAATGTAAACGTTTTATCGGAGATACGTATTAAACAGAAAAAACCGGTAAAATCACAAAATGTATTAACTGCTATAGTGTTATCGCGCGGATATGTCGGACGTCGGAGGTCTTAAATTACCGTTGGTTCGCGGCTAATAATAAACTGCAACCGTCGTGAGAATACCGTTGTCGTTGGACGAGGGGACGTTTCGAAATCGAAAAATTAATCGCCTAACCCAAGCTGCTCAACTAATAATCACAGTACGCTTATGTCGAATTCTATACGAATTAATTGTTTAAACTTGATCGACGGTTTGAGATACCGCCGGGGATGAAAACAATGGTCTACGGTGAATATTGCGCGGGAGACGAAACGTCCGCGTGCTGAATTGAACGCTGGATCCGATGGAAATTCAGTAGGCACCGTTCAATTTCGGAGCGAGACCCGTGTTTGTGATTTTTAAAAACAACGTTGAAAACATATAGGCGCATACAGTACAAGCGTTTATTATTGTTGTTATTATTCGTAATATATAAAACGTCATTAATATCAAAGGTATACCTTAGTGTGTGTTCTACATTTTCACAAATTCGATAATCCATTAATAATAGAAGACCTGTTTGGTGACCGGCGGTTTACACGATCTGTACGCGCGCGCTTTTTGGTACTTATTTAACCGTGTGTTGTTCCGATTGTTAAATACGGTTTTTTTTTTTTTTTTTTATACAACTGGTACCTTTAATTTTTTCCCATTACATAAAATGCACTATCGCCTGCGCGAACGTTTAGGCACCTCACCAGCACGGCGTTTAAAAAAGTCGCGAGTAGCCACTTGACGCTATTACGATTTTATGAAACAGATTCAAAAACCAAAATTAAACATTTTAATCGTAAAACAAGAAGTTTTTTCCTGCTGGCTAGACATCAACAATCGTTACTATTTATCGACAATCAAAAATCATAACCGTTCCGTTTTGTTCGGTCACGATATTTCAGTGGCCAATAGCCTGTAAAAGTCAAATAACCGAAGTAACGACCGAAATCGCCGAAACGACTTGTTTTTTTTTTATGAAACACAATGACCGGGTCACATTCGGTTGTTCGCCAACACACGTCCTATAATATAGTAGTCTTAAAACACGAAAGCAACTCTTGTGTACGCGGTGGCCGACCGACGGATTATCGACAGCCCATCAAAACGCGACGTTCGACAACGACGACGTTAACAATAACGGCGAGCGCGCGCGCGCGCGCGCGCGTTTCGTACAAAAGAAAAAACAATAATAACAGTCTTACAGGTGGTATATTATGATAATAATAACAATAATTATTATTATTATGATAACTAATAATACAAAAAAAAAAAAAAAAAAAAAAAAAAAAAAACCGTAATCTAACGGCAGCATCGTCGTCGGTCTCTCCGGAGGTGGCGCGGACACGAGGAGAGCATACCCGTACCTGTAAGATGCAGGGTGGCGAGGAGGCGAGTGGAGTGAAACGGGAGGGGGGGGGCGGGCGGGCGGGCGGAGGGGCCGTCCCCATTGTCGAACCGAGGATATTGTTGTGCGTGTCCCGAAACGCTGCGGCGCGAGTCGCCGCCACCGCCGCCGCGGGTGGTTGACTAATGAACGGAAACGAAAAAACGACGACCGCGACGACGACGACCGCGACGACTACGACCGCGGCGGGCGGCGGCGTGGGCGACTCGGTCGCGACCGGGACCGGTAACGCACAACAATGAACGGCTGCCGTACGAAAACTCCTCGCGCGTTTATATCGGTTGTGTTTTTTCTCTCTCTATCTCTCTCTTATTCGATTCTCCGGCCATACGATACGATTCGTTTACAATAATAATAATAATAATAATAATATAGTTTACAGCAACCCCTTTTATCGCCCGTACATCCGCGCCGCGCCGCCGTCGTCTCGCACTCTTATCTCGTCCGCCGGCGCGCACGTCGCGGCCTCGGGTCGTCCGTCGAAACAATAACATTACTATAACGACAATACGCGTGCGTATTGTAATATACGATTGCACCGGCTGTGGCTGTGGCGGCGGCAGAGAGCGTGTCGTTTCCCCGTCCCGTCGATATGTTTCGTCAGCCGTTTAAGTTAATCCGGGCTCGGGGGGGGGGGGGGGGGGAGGGGGGCTTTTAGCTCAGAAAAAACAAACCGCGCAAATATGTTACAGAAACGAACCGAATGCGCACCGAAACAACTTGTTCCGGATCGTACGACTTGTAACTAATTTGTTTATGTTTTTAATGTAACGTGTCTGTGTGTGTGTGGTTTTTTTCGTCCGTACGAAACTTTTCGACCAGACCCTTTAAATCGACCGGGAAATAACGAGAGACCTGTTCTGTTATACTTTGGATCGAGTTGATGAGTAGGAAAGACGTGTTTTGATTTTCTATTTAGTTTTATGTTTAACTGAGCGAAACCGGGAAAAAACGTAGAATGAACGCAGTTCTTGTAAAAGTTTACGAAAATAATGGTTTTATTATTTTCAATTTCGTGATTTTTGTTGTAATTCAATTAAAAATATTGATAGACATGACATTCTGACAGAAAAGTTTTCTGCTCACCTTTTCTAAACGAGGCAAAAGATTTTGGCTTTTTTTGAACTATTTATAGGCATTTTATGTTTGCGAATTTTTTACGTAGTATTTATTTGATAGGTACTATGTGAACATAATTGTTTGAGCAAAAAGAAA